TGAGTCTTCATGTGTTTGGGGGAGAATAGGTAGAACCATCTGGTGAATGGACAGCATTACCCCTATCAGCTCTTTTCAACTTTTCCAACACCCTTATTTCTGGGCCTGCTGCCCATATGCTGTGCTTTATTTACACATCTTTGCTATGATCTCTTCTCTGTGTGTGCAGTCTGCAACATTTAGAAAATATTTTTTAAGTTCAGCTATCAACTATATGAATTATTATGGATAAAAATAAAATAAAAACAGGTAAGTAATACTCATTTGTGTGTGTGTGTGTGTGTGTGTGTGTGTGTGTAGTACTGGGGATTGAACCCAGGGCCTTACACATGGTAGGCAAATACTCTTCTCCTGATCTACATCCCCAGCCCAAGTAATATATTCTCTATGAAATAGTTTCTTGAATTTTATTTTTACTTATTTTAAATATATAATAAATATAAAAGCTTTAGGTATTATAAATGTAGTAGAAAGAGTAATCTGTTCATATCTTTGGATTTCCTGATTATTTATTGTAGTTAAGACATTTGAATGCAGTTCATCTTTTTAGAAATCACAGGGATGTTTAGAAATGATAGGTAAGAAAGAGCAATCTAGACAATGTCAAAAATGTATAAAATGGTTAAGATTGAAAAGAATGAGTCAGGTGACATTATCAAATAGAGGCATCTGGAGGAGAGATGCTCTGGAGTCTTTGAACTGTGGGTTTTATTTAATTGAATGATTCAGGACATTGGTGAGATGGAAGCAAATGGGACTTTTATCTGTAGTTCTTTGTAAGTGAGATAGGCTGACTTCTTGGATTTTTGGATGGACCAAAAATCTTTCAAAAATAGGGCTGTAATGCCATTGATGATTTTTAAAAAACAATTACACTAATTATATATGGATTCATAATTCTGAAGAGAAAAACATTATTATAAAAAGGTTTTGAATGGTAGAAGACTTTAAAAATATGTTTTGCCAAATAGTGTACATAGAAGAGAGGAATTAGTATTTTGTATTTTATGTATAAGCAGACTATTTTTGTGCATGCTGGTACATTGAATACTACGTATAATCCCTGACAGGAATATGTTGAATACACTAATGAGAGAAAATTTAATTCATTGGTTAGATTTTTGAAGTATCTTTTCAATTGAAATAATAGTTACAGAGAAGTTAATGAGAAAATAATATAATATAAAATAGCAGTTTCTTACCTAATC